CAAGACGTGCAGCAGCATCGCGCGTGACCCACTGGGAGCGAACAGTGGGGTCAGCATCAGCAGCAGGGGCAGGAGAGGCGCCAGAGGTGAGGTCAAAGAGAGAGAGAGACCGTCTGCCCTATCGCACTGTAAGAACAGCTGCAGGTCGTCGACCCAGACCTCAAAGTCAATGGCTCGACCCTCAGCGTCAAACGCGAGGACACTAGGGTTAGCCATGACAACAGTAGACTAGCAGTACCAACTGTAGGACAGGGGCAGTGCAGTGACAGAAGCGCTGCTCTCACCAGACAGGGCCGTTCGGGCAGCTCAGTAGCACAGCAACACGGCAACACGGCTGCTCGGACGGCTCAGCAGCAACTGCGGCTCTGCGGCACCAGCGGCTCGGCTCCTCAGGCGGCTCGGGCGGCTCGGGCGGCCCGGGCGGGTCAGGCGGCTCGGGCGGCTCCGCTCCTCAGCGGCTCAGGCGGCTCGGGCGGCTCGGGCAGGTCGGGCGGCTCGGGCTGCTCGGGCGGCTCGGCTCCTCAGCGGCTCAGGCGGCTCGGGCGGCTCGGGCGGCTTGGGCGGCCCGGGCGGCTCGGGCGGCGCGGGCGGTGTAGGGCGGTAGGGCCGCTGGTAGGGCGGCGGGGCCGCAAGGTAGGTGGCGGGGCCGCAGTGGGAGAGGCGGCGGGGCCGGAGTGAAGGGCGGCGGGGCCGCCGTGAAGGGCGGCGGGGCCGCTGAGAAGGGCGGAGGGGCCGCAGTGAGAGAGGCGGCAGGGCCGCAGAGAAGGGCGGCGGGGCCGCTGAGAAGGGCGGCGGGGCCGCAGTGAGAGAGGCGGCAGGGACGCAGCGAAGGGCGGCGGGGCCGCTGAGACGGGCGGCGGGGCTGCAGCGACGGGCGGCGGGGCCTCAGTGTGAGGCGGCGGGGCCGCAGGGAAGGGCGGCGGGGCTGCAATGTGAGGCGTCGGGGCCGCAGCGAAGGGCGACGGGGCCGCAGCGAAGGGCGGCGGGGCCGCTGAGACGGGCGGCGGGGCCGCAGCGAAGGGCGGCGGGGCCGCTGAGAAGGGCGGCTGGCCCGCAGTGAGAGCGGCGGCGGGGCCGGAGCAAAGGGCGGCGGGGCCGCTGAGACGGGCGGCGGGGCCGCAGTGAAGGGCGGCGGGGCCGCAGTGAAGGGCTGCGGGGCCGCAGCGAAGGGCGGCGGAGCCGCAGCAAAGGGCGGCGGGGCCGCAGCGAAGGGCGGCGGGGCCGAATCGACGGCCAGTCGAATGTTCTTCCAATTCCCAAGAGTTGTGTTAAGCCCATAGCCTTTCCACTTGATGAGGAACTCTTGTACAGTTTTGCGGCCGCGTTGTCGATCACGATGCAAAAGCACTCGTTCGAGTTCATACTACACTTCCTTTCCTAGGACGATTGTTGGTGGTGGTAAGTACTTGCTTTCTGCAACGTACTTGCTTATCAGATACACATGGAAGATATTGTCGATCTAAAGGGTATCAGTTCGCTTGAGCTTATAAGCTACCACACTCAAGACTTCCAGGCCCCTCGCGGCCCCTTCGCGGCCCCGTCGCCGCCCCTTTCGCGGCCCGTCGCCGCCCTTCCGCGGCTCCGTCGCCGCCCTTTCAGCGGCCCCGTCGCCGCCCTTCCGCGGCCCCATCGCCGCCCTTTCAGCGGCCCCGTCGCCGCCCTTTCAGCGGCCACGACGCCGCCCCTTACAGCGGCCCCGTCGCCGCCCTTACAGCGGCCCCGTCGCCGCCCTTCCGCGGCCCCGTCGCCGCCCTTTCAGCGGCCCCGACGCCGCCCCTTACAGCGGCCCCGTCGCCGCCCTTCAGCGGCCCCATCGCCGCCCTTCCGCGGCCCCGTCGCCGCCCCTTCAGCGGCCCCGTTGCCGCCACCCCTTCAGCGGCCCCGTCGCCGCCCTTTAGCGGCCCCGTCGCCGCCCTTCAGCGGCCCCGTCGCCGCCCTTCCTCGGCCCCGTCGCCGCCTACAGCGGCCCCGGCCCCGCCCCGGCCATGCCCCGCCGCCAGCCGCGGCGCACCGGTGCACCGCCCCCCCCCCCCCCCTTTTCCCGTCGCCCGTCGCGGCTCCTTCGGGGGCCGCAACCTGAGGGGGGGGGGGGGCGAGCGTCGCCCCTTCTGCCGCCTGCTTTGGCGCCCTGGGAGGCCGCGCGTCCCCCCCCCCCCCCCCCCCCCCCCCCCCCCCTCCCTACCCGCCATCCCGCCCTGCCCTGTGTTAGGGTTTGGGGGTGGCAAGAATGGGGTGACGGGTGTGTGGTCTCCCCTGCTCCTCCTCCTCCTTCGTCTCCCACTGCTGCAGCTGTCGGTGAGGGGGGTGGATGTGTGGGAGCTTGGGGTTTAGGGTTTAAGGGGGGTACTGTGGGAGTGGAGCTAGGGTTTTGAGGGAGGTGGATGTGTGGGCGTCTGGGGTTTAGGGTTTACGGGGGTGCTGTGGGTGTAGGGTTAGGGTTTGAGCAGGGGGTGTGTGAGAGGGGCGTTGGGCAGCTGGGGGAGGTTGCGTGGAGGCAGCAGTCTTGTCCTCAGCAGCACCAGCAGTCCGGAGGCTACAATCTTTGGTAGTCGCCAGTCGCCTGTGGGTCAGTTGCTCGTCTGCCGCTACTTTTAGCCGCGGAGCTAGTTACTCCTGTAGTCCGGGCCTTTGCTTCGGTAGCCACTGAGCCAGCAGCTCGTCTGTGTGTGTGCAGCGTCAGCAGTCGCCTCCCATCTTCTCTCCCCCACAGTCTCTCCTCCTCCTCACTTGCCCTCTGTGATTAGCTCTAGCCTTACCTATTCTGAACTCCTGCTCTATGCCTGCTTGCTCATTGTGCTGATTACACCCCACTTTGGCTATGGGGGTGTGTCAGAATGTTATTCTCTAGCCTGTAGTGGGGTGCTCTATAGCGAGTACAACCCATCTGGGGTTTGCTATATGTATCCTCATTGCTGCTAGTGAATGCACTCCTTCATTCTCGTTCAATTTCACAGCAGCAGTACCTGCACAACATACTGCTTGAAATCGGGTTCAAGCAGCTGCCTCACAATCCTAGAATGTATCGCCGCGATTTCCGCGGCGAATACATCCTCCTCACGGTCTACGTCGACGACCTTCTCTACACAGGCTCAAGCAACGAACTGCTCGAGCAATTTGAGAGAAGCCTCGCAGGGCGTGTCGACATCACCTGCAATCATGACGTGAAGCAGTTTCTTGGACTCAACATCACCTACTCGCCGGAAGCCATTCATCTCTCAGCAGCGAAGTATGCGGAGGAGCTTAGCAAGCGCTTCAACATTGCGCCTGCACCACTCTCCACCCCTTACCGCACTCCAGGACCCTTTTCGGATTGCGCAGAAAGGCCAACGGCCTGATTAGGGTTATAAAACAACCACGATCTATGTTGGAACATGCAGAGTTATACATTGATAAGCCCTGAACAGCGAATGGGGCGCCTGGTCTTGTGAATCGCTACTTCATTAGCTCTGTGGAGTGTAACGCTCACGGCATGGTGACCTCACTGTGAGCTTCGCCACGTGTGCTCTGAAAGGAGAACAGTACAGGTGTAGGTAGGGAGGAAGGAAGGAGGAAGTGAGAACGGGGAGAGGGGGAAATAGAAGGTAAGAAACGGGTGTTTGGTCTGATAGATGATGAAGAGAGGCAGCACTGCAAGGGCGTTGAGTTGAAGTGGCCATGTTGTGGGACCGTTTTAGGTAGGTAATAGAGGGACCTTCCCTGCCTTGAAGTGAACTTGCATGTCGAAACATGCGGTCTTGCATCCGTGCCAGCGGCCAGCTACTTCTCAATCTTTCGCCAACCACAACTAGGTACCTTCTCTTCCTGCTCCGCTGTAGGTTCGTGACTTCAACCAATCATGATCAAGTATCTGGAAACGTGCCGTCAGCCATCACAGCCTTGACAGCTCTCCAAAAACTGTCAGTGCATACCAGTGTTGCTAGGGAGGAACCAGGAGGGGCGTAAGGGAGGTTGAAAAACCAGAGGTTGAGTGCTTGGAGCTGCACTGAAGTCTGAACCACCACTCAAACACGTGTGGTGGCAACAGCTTTTCCTGCAAATCACACTGCTGGAGGTTCCGTGTTTATCTCTAGCTACTTATTAGCTTAGTTACTCCACAAGCTACTTACGACGTATTCTCCAATCCAGCGTTTGTATATCTTGCAGGATCTCTGAGCTTATCTTGTGATTCGCCTCACTTGTTCCCACCCTTCCCTTCCCACTCACATGGCTCACTGCAGGGAGTTGCCAAATTGCGGCCTCACTGGAAGCCTGGAGATTCTCGGCCACCTGCCCCACTTGCAATACGTGTACGTACCTCTGCTCTGCCATTTCGCCATCTCCTCACCTCTATAACCGTTCTGTTCCTTCTATTGCTCTGTTCTTCTGCTCCGCTCTATGCCTGCGTTACCGTGCGTGCTCTAAGTCATTCCGTTCCCTCCATGTTCTACCTATCTCTTACAACACGCCTAGTCAGCCCACCGCATCCAAACACGTGCGTGTCATTGCCATGGCCATGGCACATGGCTCATCACAGTGATCTCAGCTTCAGCGGCTTCAGTGGATCCATCCCTAACGCCATCGGCAATGCCACGGGGCTACAGCACCTGTAAGAGGGCTTTCCACTCCCATGTTTCAAATTCAAACCAGGCGCCATGGCTCTCGCTGTCCGTCACTTCACTTGCTGCCTCGGCTCGGCTCATTCACGCATTGAATTGCTTGCGGGGGCAGCTCAGATTACAATGACAAGTGGTGTTTTGTTCTGCAGATTGTACAGCGCCTTGATTGAGTCTTCCCACCTCACTGGTTTCAGGTTTCAAACGTTTGAGGTTCGGCCTCATCTGCTTGTGTGCAAATGCATATTGTCTACTGTTGGCATGAACTTTTGTGCACCCCTTGCCATCCATCCCATCCCATGCCAGTGACCTGGCGGAAATTGCTGATCTCACTGGAAGCCTCCCATCCACCATCAGTCGCCTCACTGCGCTCACATACCTGTACTGTACCTCCCTTTTTCCTATCCTATGCTTGCCCCTTCGCCTTCCTTCCTCTCCGTCCTGAGCCTCCCCCTTCTCTTCCCCCGCCTTGCTGCCATGCGCATTGCTCACATCCCGTGTTGACATCTGCAGGTCCCGCCCACTGCTCCTCTTTCTTCCTCTCTTCCCTCAGCTGCTTGCATAAGCTTCCTTCCCTTATCGCCTCCCTTACCAACCCTCTTCTCTGCCCCCCTCATGCAGGTCTATTGGAAAGAATCAGTACTTTGTCGATCCTGAATTTCCTGAGGACCCACCAAGGTGAGTCGGATCGGATGGCATGAATCGGATTGGGGGTCTGGCTGCCTGTTACTGCATGCTGTTTTTGAATGGCCATGCAGGTGTCACAAGAATGTGCCAATGTCACATGGTTACAGAAGCTACATAAGAGGCTACTGTGTGTGTGTGTGTGTGTGTGTGTGTGTGTGTGTGTGTGTGCTGCCAGTTGGTGAAAGCAGTGAGTTCCAGAAGTTGTGTGTATGGGCTTCTGCACTCTAACCTGCTGCGACTCCTCCTGTTGTCATGTCCTTTCACCCCGTGCGTGTGCAAGCAAACGCAGTCCACAGTAAGAGAATCATGCTCCTCCTCCCTTTTCACTCTCTGCCTTGGCCGTTCCTCGCAGCATGCTCTCCGTCATGGCTACCATGAGCGCCCCTGTGCTGCAAGGCCCCATGGCCCACCTCTCCTGCCTCGCCCCGCTCACTCGCCTCCGCCACCTGTACGGCCCTCTCTCCCTCCCCCCTCCCTCTCATCCCTGCCCGCCTTCTCCCCTCTCTCACATCTCATCCCTGCCCGCCTTCTCCCCTCTCTCACATCTCATCCCTGCCCGCCTTCTCCCCTCTCTCACATCTCATCCCTGCCCGCCTTCTCACCTCTCTCACATCTCATCCCTGCCCGCCTTCTCCTCCCCTCTCTCTCATCCCTGCCCGCCTTCTCCTCCCCTCTCACTCATGCCTCTCTGTCTGTCACACCCACTTCCCCTCAGCGCTCTCACGACTCTCAACCTCACGGCTGGAGAGCTGCCTTCCTCTCTCTCTGCCCTTACTGCACTCACAACCCTGTAAGCCCCTTTCGTTTTCTCGAAAGCATGGCGTTTTTATGATCTCATCCATGGTTTGTGCGTGGTGGATGGATAAGCAGCATTCCCCAACGCACAACCATTGTGTTGGTGTCATCAGTGACTTGCTCTTGGTTAGCTCTTGGGGAGGGGGTGTGTGCTTGTTTGTTGAATCATTGCGTCTCATTTATTTAGCAATACGACAAAATCAAGATCAGCGAAATTCTCTTTACCAAATAGGAGCAAACACGTGTCTCTTTCCCAAACAGAAATCGTGTGCTATCTCTATCACCACCACTCACAAGCCCCGAATATCAGCCGCCACCAGTAACAAGTCATACCCATGCTTGAACTGGCAGAGCAGTGTCAGGAGGGTCTTGCCTGTGCGATCACCCTCTCTCTCCCCTCTCTTCCTTTCACTCTGTCACAGTGACATAAAGTTCCTTTCCATCACCAGCACGCCGCAATGGATTGCATCGCTCCCCAACCTTTCCACAAGGCTGAAGGTGTAACCCTGTGACGACCGCTGCGTAGCCTGGTCGTCAGCCCAAGAAGCGTCTGCGTGCCCAGTGAGGACCACTGGACTCTGCCCTCCAAGCACAAGCCCCATGCCCGACGTACAGCACAAGTAGCGCAACACCCTCTTTGCTGCAGCCATGTGCTCTGGTCTGTGTCTCCCAGGAGCAACATAGCGTGCTAAGATGCTAAGAGGGTATGCAAGGTCAGGTCGTGTGCAGGTCATCAGGTACAAAAGGCAGCCAACAAGCTGTGGGTACGGGCCACTCGGCTCTACGGACTCATCCGAAGACAGAGCTGAGAGCGAGTGGCGAGTAGGCAGAGGAGTGGCCTGAGGCGAGGAGTACGTGAAGCCGAAGCGCTGAAGGACCTGCTGCACCATGTGTGACTGAGTCAGGGTAATGGTGCGGCGTGCTCTGTCCCGGATGATCTGTAGGCCAAGGTAGCTACGCAGTTCACCCAGGTCTGTGCATGTGTGTTTCTTCTGCAGCTCGGACTTCACGTGGGCGAGTCCAGCAGTGTCAGCTGTGGCAAAGACCAAGTCGTCGACGTACACGAGGATGTAGAACGGCGGTAAAGAAGTGTCGGTGCGCAGAAACACCGACAGGTCAGCAGTAGAGGGAGCAAGCCCAAGAGCCGCAAGCGTAGTCCTCAGTGTGTCGTGCCACTCACGCGGTGCCTGGCGGAGACCGTAGACTGGCCGCCGGAGGCTCCACTGGGTGCCAGGAGGAAAAGACCCAGTGAAGCCAGGTGGGCGACGCAGCCAAATCTCCTCGTGCAGGCTGCCCTGCAAGAAAGCAGTGCTGAAGTCAAGAGAGTGCAGCTCGTAGTCACGGTGAGCAGCTATGTGCAGCAGTACCCGAAGAGTGGTCATCTTCGGGGTGGGAGAGAAGGTCTGAAAGTAGTCAACTCCTTGCCGCTGACTGAAGCCACGAACCACGTAAGGCGCCTTGAAGACAGGCAGAAAACCCGGCGGTCGCTTCACCCTGAAAATCCACATGCCACTGACGATGTTTGCCCCAGGCGGGGGAACCTCGTCAACGTAGGTGCCTGTGGACTTCCAGGAATCCATCTCTGTGTCCATAGCTGCCTGCCACTGAGAGGAGTAGGGACCCTCTATCGCCTCCGGGTAAGAGCGCGGAGTCGGGATGTCAAGTGCATCCGGGTCTCCCTCAGGGGTAAGCAGTACGGACAGGAGATGAGGTGAAGCAGTAGCCAAACACTGGAACTCCTCCTGCCTGTCCTCAAGGACGTCCGTGCCAAGGGCACACTCACCCCCGACGGACGGAGGACAGACAGACTCAGACTCAGCGACAAGACTAGCAGCGTAGTCTAGACGACAGCGAGCAGCAAAGTCGACGAGCTCAGCAACTAGGGCAGACGCAGCAGTGGACTCAAAGGAAGGGTCAGTGACGAGAGTAGCAAGGAGACGCGTGAGAGTAGGACTGGCAGCACGAAGAGAGTCCGACTCCGGGTCGGCAAGAGCAGGAAGAGAGGACTCAGGAGGAGAAGGCAAAGGGGCACGCAGAGGAGCAGTGGACGGATGCAGAGACATCCGGTGCGTGCCAGGGACAGGAGGAGGACGCTGACGCGAACCACGACCACTAGTGCGAGCAGGACGGACAGGCGACGTAGGTCGAGACGCAGGCTCACAACGCTCAGCAAGACCTCCAGTAAGACCAGTGTAGGGAGAAGCAGCAGGCAGTGGGGAGGCCGGCTGTAACTGTAACTATGACGGGACTGGCTGTGGACACTCTAAGGGACGAGGAGGACCAGTAGAAGGCGGAAGACCAAGAACCTGCTGAAGGAGCGGAACGAAGTACGGCTGAGGCCGCGCGACAACTTCAGACACAGCACGGACAGCACCAGTACCCCTAGTGGTAGCACTAGTGCCAGCAGCACCTCCAGCTACAGCACCCCCAACAGCTCCAGTAGCTCCAGGACCTCCAGCAGCACCAGTAGCACCCCCAGCAAGACCGCCTCCAGGACCGACAGAAGTAGTCTCAGCGCCAACACCCTCAGCACCTCCAACTCCAGTCGTACCCGCAGGCCCAGCAGCTCCAGTACTCCTAGTACGAGCACCTCCAGGACCCGCGACACCAGCACCCTCAGTAGCCGAAGAACCTCCAGCTCCAGCAGCACGCCTCCAGCGCCGGGCAAACCACTCGCGCAGCTCCTGTGGAGAGAGTGGCTCCCGCCGAGACGAAGCACCCGGAGAACCTCCAGGCACAGTACCACCAGACGCGACACGAGCAGGCCCAGCTCCCTCAGGCTTCGCACCCCCAGGCTCAGCACCTCCAGGCGTAGCACCCCCAGGCTCTGCACCCCCAGTCGTAGCACCCCCAGGCTCAGCACCCCCAGGCGTAGCACCCCCAGGCTCAGATCCCCCAGGCTCAGCTCCCCCAGGCTCAGCACCCCCAATAGTAGCACCCTCAGGCTCAGCACCCCCAGGCGTAGCAACCACACGCTCAGCACCCCCAGAGTCAGCACCCCCAGGCTCAGCACCCTCAGCAGCACCAGAGTCACCAGCAACCTCGACAGGCTCAACTGCGTCTACCTGGGACACACCTGAAGGGGCAGGCCCCTGAGGGGGAAGGGGGTCTACCGGGGGGGACCTGGCACAAGGAAGAGCGGTGGCGGGGGGAGGGACGGAGTGCAGTAGGGGAAGAGGCGGTAGTAGGGGACCGAGTCGTCAAACGTGACGTCCTGGGAGGACAGAACACGGCGAGAGGTGGGGTGGTAGATCTGCCACCCAGGCGGGAAGCCAAGGAAGACGCAAGGAGTAGCACGAGGGGACAACTTGTCCGCAGACAAGTCGCGGACAAACGCCCGAGATCCCAAGACACGGAACGCACACGCATCACCATTCTTCCCGGTCCACAGCAAAGCTAGGGAGGTCTCCGGCATGGAGACCCTGGGCTGAAGGTTGATCAGATGAGCCGCGTACCGAACCGCAAACGGCCACAGAAAATGGGGGGCAGCCGCATGCATCATGGACATACGGGCGACGTGCATGACCATGCCAATGCGGCGCTCAGCAATCCCATTTTGCTGTGGAGAGTCCGGAAGCGTGAAGGTCTGGCGGATGCCTCGTGCACGACAGTAGCCTTGCAGAAGGCCAGAGGAGAACTCTCCGCCTCTGTCAGAGTGCAGACGCAGAACAGGAAAGTCCGAGCCGAAGCTCTGCCTGAGCTGGAGACGAGCTGCGCGGATCCAGTCGATCAACACCTCAATGACATCACCCTTGCTGCGCAAGGGGAAGACTGTGGTGTAACGCGAGTAGTCGTTAACCACCAGCAGGAAGTAGCGCTCGTGACCCTGTCCACGGACACGGGCGGGGCCCCACACGTCCATGTGAAGCGTCTGCAGCGGGGCCTCTGTCGGAGGAAACTGGGAGGAGTGAGGGGCAGCACGCTGCCGCCCCTCGACGCAGGGGACGCAGGCAGGGGCAGGCCCCGGGGGAAGGGGAGGGAGGGACCGGGGAAGACCAGAGACAAGGACACGGGAGGCCATGCCTCAGAGACGAAGCAGGGAGGGGTGACCAAGGCGGTGGTGCCAGAGGAGAGTCTCGTGAGACAGGAGGCGACAAGAGCAGGGGGCAGACTCAGGACCAGACGTGGACGCTGCAACAAACACCTGACCCGACGCAGCTACCTGACCAGACGCAGGGACAGGAGGAGACTCAGTGGTCAGTGTGTACAGGCTCGACCCCGGCCGACGTGTAAACGTGGCCAGGTGTCGGCCTGTCCGAGCGTCCGTGCAGTGGGTCACCTGCTGACTCGCAGGAGTGAACTAGTGAACCCCCGCATCCTGTAGGTCAGCACCACTCACCAAGTTCGTAGAGAACGAGGGGAGGTAAAGACCAGATAGGGTGCCAGAGGGGGCCGCCGGACATGGGAGGACAGTGGAGAAGTGAGCAAGGACAGGACCCCCAGAGGGGTCTGCCAGAGAGACTGCAACTGGCCGACCAAGCCGCGTGAGTGTGGTGCGGTCTCGAAAGAAGGAGCGAAAAGCCCCCGAGTCAAGGGTGAAGGTGTGGGAGGCCGAAGCCGACGCGGTACCTGAGAGAGCAGACTCACCAGCACCTGAGGAAGCAGACGCACTGGCACCTAGAGCAACAGCCTCACTAGCACCTAGAGCAGCAGCCTCACCAGTACCTAGAGCAGCAGTCTCAATGCCCGGGTCGGGCGGAAAACACCGGTAACAGTCACCCCCATCACTAATAGTCACAGTATACATGGCAGCAAGAATAGCATCAAAGTCAAGGTCAAAGATAGCTACTCCCGCCCTAGACAGCTCGCCCCAGCGAGGGATCTCAGTGGCCTCAGGGAACTGGTGACGCCAAGCGTCCGTCAGGCAGCCAAAGCAGCGCTGGGTGGAGTGCGCACCCGCGCACTGCTCACCCGCACGGTCGCCGGTGCGTAGGACGTAGGTGCACGGACCAGTACCCCCACCCCGCTGGCGTGCAGCGTACCACTCACGGAGCTGCTG